TGTTGCTGTTGTCCCAAAATTCCAAACAGGATCAGACCACCATCTCCTTTGTGCAAAATTCTACTTCATGAAGCGGGGAGAAAGGGCTGCAAAGTTTAAGAAGAGAACTCCCAGAATGACCACAACTGGGAGCTCTTTGGCTCTATTGCAGCAACATAGGAAGATGCCATTGTTGACAACATTGACGAGGAATATGATCGACTGGTTCAGCACCTCCATGATTGTGCGAGGAACGCCAAGAGAGAGATAGCCACAAAAAATACCTGTCTTCGAAAACTCTTGAGCTTATTCCCCAATGTGGCTTGGTGCAAGCCTCAGGCAACCACAAGCGAATGTCCGATCTCACAAAGCAGTGCAGAGAGGCGATAAAGGAAGACCTCAAAGAGAGAAGAGCAGCAGTGCTTGCAGATGCAGCAGAAGCTGGGAAAAGCATTCGCAATGCCTGCCTGTCCTTCGCCAACTACAAGACCAAAATGATTGCCCTCCGATGTTCTGATGGATCTATCACATCTTCCAGAAGGGCAATAGAGATGATTATTCATGACATCTATATGGATCTCTTCGATAGTCACGTCCACCTGCCCACATACCAAATTCCACAGGATGGATATGTGGTTCCCAACGTTCTCCATTCCGAAATCCGACACGCCATTCTGTTGGTAAAGAAGGGAAAAGCACCTGGCCTAGACAGTCAGACCCGAACACCTGAAGAACCTGTCATCTGTACTAATCGATATACTGGCTCAGCTCTTCACATGCTATCTGTCTGAATGCAAGGTTCCATCCCAATGAAAAAACAGCAGGACTGTACTACTGTACAAGAAGGGAGACATCCACGACATTGGCAACTATCGCCCAATCTGACTATTGTCTGTCATCTACAAGATGTTTACTTGAGTCATTCTGAATAGAATTGGCAGAACAATAGATGAAGGACAACCATGCATGCAAGCCAGGTTCCGCAAAGGATTCAGCACGATGGACCATATCCACCAATAACCAAGCTCATTGAGGTTTCTCGGGAGTTCAAGATGTTGCTCTGTCTAACATTCATTGATTTAAAGAAGGCCTTTGATTGTGTTGAGATGAAAATGGTCATCAAAGCCTTAGCCAAACAGGGTGTTAAAACTCAATACATCAGGATCCTCCATGAGCTGTATTACAGATTCACTACCAAGATCTCACCATTCTACAAAGAAGTGATCATCTATGTCAAGAGAGGGGTTCGGCAGGGTGATATCATTTCACTGAAATTTTTCAATGCCACCCTCGAAAACGTCATGTGATGACTGGAATGTGAAGGAATGGGAGTGAAGATAGATGCTCAGCAACTACACCACCTCCGCTTTGCTGATGACATTGTTTTAATAACACCAAACATTAGTCAAGCGGAACAAATGCTGGCTGACTTCGACTGTGAGTGTGGAAACGTCAGACTACAGCTGAATCTTACGAAGACAATGTTTATGAGAAACAGTCTCGTTCCTGATGCCCCATTCGCTCTCAACGGAACGACCATCTCCGAATGCAACAGCTATGTGTACCTAGGTCGAGAAGTCAACATGACAAATGACCTGGCACCTGAGCTGTGCAGGAGGAAGAGAGCGTCTTGGAACGCCTTCAAGAATGTGTAAAAATAGCTAAGAGGACGAAGAAACTCCGGCTCCAGGCACATCTCTTTGATTCCACTGTTCTTCCTGCATTAACATACGCCTCAGAGACCTGGGCCCTATGCAAACAGAATGAGAACGCTATTCGGGTCTCCCAAAGAGAAATCAGAAGAGCTATGCTTGGAATATCACATTTCACTCAAATGAGATAAAGAATCCGGAGTTCCGACCTCCGTCGACGATCAAGAATCAGGGACGCTGTCTCGTTTGCCAAGGTGTCAAAAATCAGATGGGCTGGTCACGTAATGAGATTTAAAGACAACTGCTGGACTAGAGCTGTTACCTACTGGATTCCACAGGATGTCAAAAGACCGTGTGGCCGTCCACCTACCAGATGGTCAGACTTCTTCATCAAGATCATGAATGATCAGTTTGCGGCTCTTCGTGTTCCTAGAGCGAACAGACGCCATTGGGCTACACTAGGACACGGCAGGGACAAATGGAGACATTACTGGCACCTGCTCGAGCAAATCGATGATTAACAGAAAGTCAAGTGATCAAGTGATGCTTGGAGTATCACGCTTCACTCAAATGAGAGAAAGAATCTGGAGTTCCGAGCTTCATCGATGGTCAAGAATCAAGGTTTCTGTCTCATTTTCTGAGGCGTCAAAAAATCAGATGGGCCGGACATGTAATGAGATTTGGAGATGACCACTGGACTAGAGCCGTTACCGACTGCATTACATGGGACGTCAGAAGATCGTGTGGCCACCCACCTACAAGATGGTCAGACTTCTTCATCAAAACCCTGAATGATTGGTTTGAGGCTCTTTGTGTTCCTAGAATGAGCAGGCGCCTTTGGGCTACACTAGCATGCAACAGGGACAAATGGAGACTTACTGGCACCCACTCGAGCAAATCGATGAGTAATGGGATGTCAAATGATCAAGTGATGCATACATATAGTTTAATATTCTAGGATCCTCTGACCAGTTCCAGTGATTTTCATCAATTGAGAATGGCGAGTGATCACTTAAGTGATAAGTGACCCTTGAGCTGTTCAGAGGCTAGACAAATATCCAGAGGCTAGGTAAATAAGTATCAGGTTGATTGATAACAACAACAAAAAGATTATTAATAAGATTTCCATTTTCTATTAATAATATCTCTATTTTCTATAAATATGGAGAGACAAAAAATGCCCTATTAACTCCTAAACCGGGCATCAGATTCTTTTTTTTAATAAAATTTAGTCACAATAAAATTACAAAGATATTCACATCTAAATTTCAGGCATATGGCCATCTCAGCACATTAACGGCCTTGATCCAGAGACTCAGCAGTGAATTCCAAAAGACAGAAGCTCGCTAGAGATCTCTCCTGACCCCGTGTGGAGCCGTTTTCATCAGGATACCTCAGATGGAGCAGGTGTGCTCTCTCTGCCCACTCCAGATGAACCTCTGGTAACCATAAATTTCCAAAAGAAAAACCCAGGTACATGGGACCAGGAACTGAAGACTCCAGGCCACATGGCAGCGGTGGGGAAGAGCCATCCCTTCCCATCTCCCTGTCTGCTCGAGGTCCTGTATGTCACACCCACGAACTGCCTGCAGGCGACATTTAAGAGTGTCATCGGCCTTGATGCAGAGAATCACAAATGGATCTCAAAATGGATAACCCCCCTACAGAGATATCTCTGGATCCCAATCATCAGCAATAGGAAACAAATTATCTAATGATGTCTTTTTGACAAGTTCAATTGATGGGGAAAATTCCAAATAATAATGGTTGTTTTATGTCATAATATTAAATATGATCAACATAGAGAAAGAGTAAAGTGGAAATCTGTCACACAGGCAAGGGGAGAGTTGGGAGGGCGGTATACTGATATTTCACTGTATCACTATATCACAGTCATCACTGTTCATCAATTTACTCCAGCAGACACCAGTAACATCTCCATTCATCCCAGCCCTGAGATTTTAGCAGCCTCTCCTTACTTGTCTTTCCCAATGCTGCTGTATTGAAGACTCTTTCAGGGTCAGGGGAATGAGACCCGTTATTGTTACTGTTTTTGGCATATTGAATACACCATGGAGAGCTTGCCAGACTCTTTCACGTGGGCAGGACACTCTCAGTAGCTTACTGGGCTCTCCGAGAGGTATTTTACATATATATATATATATAATGGAAAATGGGTAGGGAGTGTCTTATGATGTGTCACACAGCTGCAAAAGTAGCCGCACATTTCAGGAATATGTTTCTCATATGTGAGGCTCAGTCCGAACATGTGGAAAGCGGCCTGGAGTGTGATGGCATTTGGGTAGTGTAGGTCAGCTGCCAGGGCTGGGTCCCTTGGGGTGGGGAGGATTCTCACCTGCCCTCCTCCGGGGCATCCTGAGATGAAAGCAGCCTGGCACAGAGTCCAGTGTCATGGTTATGGGGGCCTTATTTTATGCTCCCTTCCGGGAAAAGCAGCCATGAGTTCTGGAGGGTGGCCAAGAAGGGGCTTATCTGGCGACGGCAAATATTTCACTATGAGCGTTAATAAGAAACTAGGTTGCTACTACTTTAGGAAAATCCCTTGATTACCATAAACAAAGTAGTCACAAGTTCTGCTTTTATATATAACGTTAGAAGATTTCTGACACTATAAAACAAGACTGCTCCCTTTTCGAGTTCATAATAAGATGTTCTCCAGACTGGAGAGGTAGTGTGCGGGCTAAGAGGCACTTGCAGATGACACAGGTTCAATCCCTGGCCCTCCATCTGGTTGCTCTGAACTGTTCCAGAAGTGACCCCTTAGTGCAGATCCAGGAGTTAGCCCTAAGCACCTCCAGGTGTGGCTTGAAAACCAAAATAATACTGATAATAAAAATATGCACTGTCCTGTCCTCCCATTGTTCATCAATTTGCTCGAGCAGGCCCAGTAACATCTCCATTGGAGACTTTGTTGTTACTGTGTTTGGCATATCGAATATATCACGGGTAGCTTGCCAGGCTCTGCTGTGCGGGCGAGATACTCTCGGTAGCTTGCTGGGCTCTCCAAGAGGGGCAGAGGAATTGAACTCGGGTCGGCCATGTTGGCTGCATGCAATGCAAACGCCCTACTGCTGTGCTATCGCTCCAGCCTGATAATAAAAATAAAAATAATAAAAATAATGATGTAGTGCTGGGGCTGGGTCCCTTAGGGTAGGGAGGGATCTCACCTGCTCCCCTCCGAAGCACCCCAAGTGAAACAGCCTGGCGCAGTCCGGCAGCATGCTTATGGTGTCATGCTATGCTCCCTTCCAGGAGAGAAGGACATGGAGTGCATAATCTAATAAAATCAACATAAGGCAAAAAATCATATGACATGGAATATATATTTTTATAATAATTCGGAAGAAGATGAATATGTGGAAAATGAAAAACAGTATAACCCAAGGAGACAAACTATGTGCCTTAAAAAGTCAGAGACAGCCACGCTACTCACCATCCTGTGCATTTAGGTTGGACAATTTGAAAACACACCCGAGAGCAATGTCTCATCCCTTCAGACAGTGTTCTTCTTTACAAGGATCAGCATCTACTTTGAAGACCTCAGAAATGCTTTTGTCCCCTTCAGTGACAGCCAAGAGGACAAACAGAGGCTCTTTGTCCTCAGGCACCAGCATAATAAGCTTTTCCATAAACTCCCTGCTAGCCAGTTCTCTGGGGAACTTGAATGCGGCAACTGATGATCCAGAGAACAAAAAATCCTCATCTACCAAGGCGGATTTCATAGCCAGTATCTTCACCAGCCTCTTGAATGGCAGGTCCCAGTTGCCTGACAAAAATTACCCTGAGCTCAATAATAACCAGTATTGTCAAAGCAATAGCAACAGCAGGAGCATCCTGACCAGCCAGCTGAGCCCACTCAGCACCACGACAGAGGAGCACAGCAGCACCATCCTCCCACCCACCTACACTGGATTTTCTTCTTTTTCAGCAAGATTCCTGAGCTATCTATCCCTTCGTTTCAGTCTAAATATGTTCATTACTAAGTCCTTGCCACTCTGGCGAAAACTGTTCCACTCATGCACACAATTTCTTCATCAGGATGAGCATTGCAGATGGGAGGCAACTGCTTGCTGGAAGAATCTCTCTCCTTTTTAAGCTTAAGTTAAAGGGAGCACTAAGATAAGACCTTCAAGAGACTTGAAACCAGAGAACTTTAGCTAATAACTACTAGAAATACACTGAAACTATGTCTTATGGAGATGTCAACACTTTTAAAGACAGTTTTAACATTGAAGTTGGTATTTTGAATGATTGTTTTAAATGTATTTCAGGAATACATTTGTTACTACATTTACATGTATATTATGTATGTATTGTGAACTTTAAATGACTATTTTGGTAAATTTATAAATACATAAAATGATGTAAAAGCTGGATTCTATTTTCACTTATATTTTCTTGCTATTTACTACCAAAATTTGTATTGTGAACTTTAGTCCGCTTTTATCTATGATGAATGAATAGATGACTCTTCTGTATTAAGAAAAAGGGCAAAAGTTTTTAGAAAGTGATTTCTATGTTCCTGCTACTAATATTACAGGTCAGTTTATTCTTTGGGAAAATCATCTAGTTCAGAACATTTGTGCAAATTTATCTTGAGCAGGAGTGTATTAATTTGACATAGTTGATTTAGACCATTTCCTTTCCCTTTGTTTTTGTTGCTGAGCCATTTATGTTTGTAGCCAAGGGGGCTTTCACTAAATTTAACATCCAGTGGAAAATCAGAACTCTCTAAATATTGCCGTGAGCAGCATGGTTCATCTTGAAATGACTCCTCATTCCAAATACATTCACCTACTCTCCTTCCAGAAGAGTTCTTACACAATGAGAATATCTGATTCTGCTCCGAGGTTGTTGCCTGTAATCACATTTAGTCTGGCTCAAATTTTCAATCAGTGAAGAGAAAAAGATGAAAACGTTGCTGCTCACTAGTTCTCTCTATTAAAGAAGATATGATTAAAGCAGATTACCGGGGGTATGGTGCCGCCAGTAGGTCAGTCTGTACCTGTGAGGTGAGTGCATAAGCAGTCTGATGGTGCCTTTAGACTTCCAGATACCCCAAAATTGCTGCTGTGCCTTTGGCCAGACCCCAAAAACTTGGGGCAAAGTTTACCAAGAAAGTAAACAGCCAAAAGTTAGGTATGTGGGAGACACACCAACAAACCACCTCCGGCTCAGCTATATAATTGGAGGCATGGCCTCTCTGCTTAATGGCCATGATCCAAGAGACTCAAAAACAAATCTCGAAATCCAACGGTTTTTGGCAGAAATGTTTTCAGTCCCTGCAGTAGGTTACTGTCGCCGGGCTTCCCCAGGAGGATAGGGTGCTCTCCCTCCGCCTGCTTCCCCTTAACAGCTCTGTGACCGCCACCCTCCAGAGGCCATTGGACAGTCAGGTTTGGGCCCCCCGCAGTGAAAAGACACGTGGGGCCTCACGGGATGGGGGTGGAGCCGGCCCTTTCTTCCCCCTCCCAACGAGATCCCAAGTCGCCGCCCATGAACGGCCTTTCTGGCTCCTGATCAAGCTACTTAATGGCCATGATCCCAGAAACTCAGGAACAAATCTTGGAAGCCAGCAGATTTTGGCAGAAATCCCTCCATATTTAAGTGTAAACATTTCGGAATTTCAAAATCGCGCAGCCACTACTGCAGCCACGCAACATCATATGTTATTCTTAACCAGCAATAGAAAACAAATTGTCTACTGTTGCCTTCTCGGCAGATCTGAGTGTTGGAATAAAATCCCAAATAAAAATGTGGGTCTGGTGTCAAAATATTGAATGTGATCAAAGTAATGTGGAAATCATCTGCCCCACAGGTAGGGGGAGGGTGTGGGATGGGGATATACTGGGGGTTTTGGTGGTGGAGAATGGGCACTGGTGAAAGTATGGGTGTTTTATTGTATGACCGAGACTTAAACCCAAAAGCTTTGTAACTGCTCTCATGGTGATTCAATAAATAAAATTATAAAAATTTTTTAAAAAAGTAAGGTGGTGTTCATACTCAATTCAATCAGCTAATCAGTGGCTGAATAAATAGCAGTACTCATACATTTTAAAAAAGCAGATTACAAGCCCTAGACATACAAACTAGCACATCAGAAACTAACAGAGGTGAAGGGACTCCTTCCACAGGTACTCAGCCCTTTCACTGAGTGTACATTCAGGTTTAGGCCTCTAGAAGCCTGGAGGCTTTTCGTGGAGAGTCTCAGATCCTGATTTTCCTCCTTAAATTTAGCCAGTTACAGTTTAAAACATTCAACCATGAGTTTTTTGTAAAGTATTTATGAGGAAGACGTACCCTGAGATTTTTATGAATGCCCCAGCAAAACATCTTGTCCACATTTTACATTTTTAAATGGCATTTGAATGAATGTTTGACTCAGGTCGGTTACCTTAACCTTCAATAACTACAGTACCAAATAATTGCACTAAACACATGAAAAATAAATTGCATATTTTAAGCAGCAAAAATTAAAACAGAGAATTAAGTTGTAGGCCTTTTCTAAAACTGAAATTGCAAAATATTTTATTACAAGATACTGTAAAAGAGATTGGCTAATTGTACAGGAAGATAAAACTATTTTTTTAAATTATCAGTAAAAGGTAATCCAGATGACATTTTAGAAGTGGGGGAAAGGGAATCATCTTGACAGTTTGAGTATTGACAGTTTGAGTTCTACAAACACTAGTTTGTGTGCAGCTATTAAAATGAATGTAAAGGGGCTGGAGCAATAGCACAGTGAGTAGGGCATTTGCCTTGCATGCAGCTGACCTAGGTTCGATTCCCAGCATCCCATATGGTCCCCCGAGCACTGCCAGGAGTATGCCAGGAGTAATTCCTGAGTGCATGAACCAGGAGTAATTCCTGTGCATCACCAGGTGTGACCCAAAAAGCAAAAAAAAAAAAAAAAGTAAAATTGACTACTGTAAATTTTCTATTATTGTGTGTACATAAGTCATATGTATTTGCATGTGCATGTCTTAATATTATTTATACATATATGGGTACATAAGCAAACCAAGAAATGTATGTATCTAATATAGAAAATATATAGCAAAATAATTCTACTTGCAACAATATTGTTTGACATGTATTTTGTTATGGATAGTTTACCTTCCAAAAGATATTTTGTTCTATTTTAAGATGTAGAAGAATACAGTGCTAATAAATAATAAAAGTTTTATTCAATTAAAAAATACAATGACATACTCCTCACTTCCATTAGAGTTCTTAGTGGCAGTGTCAATTCTGTATCTCTAATAATTGTCTTCCAGGGTTATCTACACTGTCTCTATGTCTCTCTATGCCCCACATTAAGATATTTGAAAGAGCAGCAATCCTTTTCCAGATATCAAAGTTCATATTATTTACAACTGCTACAGAGTAAATTGCCATAAACTTAGCAGCTCTAAATGACAGTGTCTGTAGGTCCAGCATCTAAACACTTTCAACCTAAAATGCAAATGTTAACTGGGCATTCATATGGATTTTTGTCGTTTACTTTGGGGACACATCTGGTTTTTGTCAGATGCTATTCCTGGCTTGGTGCTCAGCATCACTTTTGGCAGTGATCAAACCTGGACTCTAGAACAAAAATAAATCTTTCTAGGGCAATATAAAGTAATCTTGCCTCTACTGAAAGTAGCCTTTCTCAACTATAAAGTGATGACAAACATACATTTGATGAATTAAAAAAAATCCACTTCAAGATAGTAACTACTTTCATATAACTACTTTCATACAAGTCACCTTTTTTCTGAGCTACTTAAAGCCTCACATTATACTTGTTAACTCAAGCCTGATATGTTGCTGAGAGTACTGCTACTGTTAGTTATTTAAAGCACCCTATTCAAAGGCTGCAGTTCAAATATTGCTTAGCAACAACCAGTTACACAATTTCCTGATACACTAATTAAGAGCTTCTAAAATGTTGATTTTGAGCTCTTCTGAAAGAGCTTCTGAATCAACTATCCTGCTGACAAACATTGTATGAATCAATTATACATCCTATCAAAATGCTGATGCTGAATGCTGGAAGTGAGAGTGGGGTCCAGTGATCATGGAGGCAGTTCATATTCCCTAAAAAATCAGGTGCTGAAGAAATTACAATGTAAAATTATACTTGCTAAGAAAATTAGCTTCCTATTTTAATCAACCCATACTCTCATTGTAAGAATTTTCTTGACACACAACAATCTAACTTCTATCTAGTCTGACATTTTGAACTATTGAGTGAAGGCTAGTACACCTATTCAGTGGGAGATTTTATGATCCTGGAGAATTTGGAGCACTGTAGAACTTGATTGTATTTTATTATTGTTTTCTGACAACTGTGTCTGTAGTCTCTGTCAGAGAAATGATTTGCTAGAGACAGAGAGAAAACAAAAATATTGAGAGTTGAAGATTTGTGTATATTTTATTATCTTTTTCTATGATCTGTATTTTTCAATTCTTCAATAAGCACATGTTATAAGAGCTAAATGAGGTAATATATTATTCTAAACTAAGATGGTTCTGACAGTTAGAAATGAGAGCATTTGCAAAAGGAATTTCAATTAGAAATTTACCGTGGAGATTCATAAGGAAAACTTAAATCTCCAAGTGTTCACAAAGGTAACTTTTCTTAATTTTAGTTAGGGCTGGAGCGATAGCACAGCGGGTAGGGCGTTCACCTTACAAGCGGCCAACATGGCTGACCCGAGTTTGATTCCTCTGCCCCTCTCGGAGAGCCCGGCAAGCTACCAAGAGTACTCGATATGCCAAACACAGAAACAACAAAGTCTCCAATGGAGACGTTACTGGGCCTGCTCGAGCAAATCGACGATCAACGGGAGGGCCTTTACCTTTATTTTCAAAATACATTAAAGGGGTCAGATAAACATCTCAGTGGCTTAGAATATCTGCCCTGCAAGTCACAAATTCAATCCCCAGTGCTGCCACATATGTTAAGTATAATCCTGACACCTCTGCTGGGTAGCCTGGCAGCTCTACTGCCTCTATCCCCAGCACCACAAGCAATTTCTGGCCTTTCACAGTCAGATTGTCTATAAGCATCACAAAGAGGTATGACCTCTGATAAATACCACAACCAA